AACCCCTAGACTCCATTAAAAACATTTAATATATGAGAGAAATCACTTTCTTTAATTTGGTACGTGCGAAGTGGCATAGCCACTAACTAAATTCTCACGGCACGAGGCCTCAACACTCCTAACACCTATTTTTAAAATATATATTTATTGCCGAGGTATCTTTAAGGTATTTTATGTATTTTAAAATTAATTTTTTTAGATAATTTTAAAGATATATTTTCTTTACAATAGTCTAATGAATTTGAAAAAAAATATTTTTTATAAATTTTTTTAAGTATTAATTTCAAATTGTAAAATGTAAATCTCACTTATAAAACAAAACTTATTTACTAATAAATACAACTTTTAACATTATTCATAACACATCTTTGTGTAAATAAACTTTTCCTTTTATATTTATTTAGTTTTTTTTTTTTAAACAAATTCACAAAAAGTTGGATTCCAACCGTTATCCTAAAAAAAAATATACACTTATATGTAACATGATATCGCTGGACCGAATGTACTAGTGCCTTTTATATTTATTTAGTTATTTATTTAAAGTATCACCTGATCAAATCTTACCTTATTTAATATGATTTAGTGGTCACTTGTATTTATTTATTTTTTTTGTCTGCATCATGGTGCCGACTATTAGGTTAAGGTTAAAAGTAGGAGTGCTCAGATGTGATTTGATTTGAATTTTGAAATTTTAAAATTAATTTAATTAATTGATTAGTAAAATTTTTAAATTAAATTAATTTATTATTATATGACAATTAAATTAAATTAATGTGATTTGGTCAAATTAATTAATTTTTAACATTATTAAATGTATGAGATAATGTAAAAAATTTTAGTACCATGTAAAAAAAATTATAAAACACATTAATATTAAAATCAATAAAAACATAATAAAAGGCATAAATTATAAATAAGTTTTTATACATCTTTACAATTGTAAAAATTAAAAAAATCTAAAAAATTTTATTGACTATATCACTAAAGGCACTAAGAACAATTAAAGATGATTCCAAATTTTAAATACAGTACAAATAATTTTTCACAATTAAAAAAATATATTTTTTTTGTTTAATGCACCAAATGATTCAATCTCGTCTTCTAAATCCTATTAAAAGCAAATAAAATTTAACATGAATATCATTAGAATTGATTAAAGCATTCATAATCAATATTTAAAACTCCTCAACAAAACATTCAAAAATGGTAGAATGTTAATATTAATTCTATTATATAGTTTTAAGACTTTTAGAATGATACTTCTTTAAAATTTAGCTAGAAAAATTAGAATATTATTTTAAGAACAAATTTAAAATATAAGGTTCTAAGAGTAAAATTGCAAACTAGCTTTGAGGGGTAGATTTGCAAGCAAATTATAAATTTAAAATTAGAATTAGAATGTACTATTAAGAAAAAAAAAAAGGAAATATGAGAATATTTTACTTTTATTTTTTAATTAAGTTAATAGAGCTATTATTTTAAAAAATAAGAAAAAAAATTTAAAATATTACAAAAAAAATATTATATTATTTAATTAAATTTTATTTTATAATCAAACGGTTCAAACAGTTTAATAATAAAATCACAAACTAAATCAATTATATTAATTTTAAAAATTTATAATCTAAATCAACTTAATTTTATATTAAATTAAATTAATTTTTTTTATTAAATTAGATCAATTTTAATCAAATCAATCATAAATCAAATATGAACATCCCTAGTTGAGAGGGACTCTATGGTTTAATTTTATATTAAATTAATTTAATTTTTTTATTAAATTAGATCAATTTTAATCAAATCAATCATAAATCAAATATGAACATCCCTAGTTGAGAGGGACTCTATGGTTACATAACTCTTTCTATTCCCCTTTATAGTGGTCCCTAATCGAAGACCCTTTTGACTAATGCAACTTTACATCTCATAATGTCTTACGTGTCCCAATTTAAATTTTTAGCACAAGCTTTCATCAGATAATTTTGAAAGTGAATTTATTGGTAAATAAATATTATTTTATAATTTAAAATTTAAAATTAGTACTAAAAAAATTAATAATTTTAAATATACAAGACTTATGTAATGAATACATTTTAAAAATTATTTAAAGAGATACTAATCTTGAGATCCATTGTTTGAATAAAAAAAAATAAGTTTCCTCAATTTGCGTGCTTTCATTGTTTTTTTCAATTTCATACTACTCCATCCACAATATCTGAAGAAGAGAAGGATCAAATAAAAATATGAATTTTGTTGTTTTATTTATTTATTTATTTAGAGATAGAAAATTTTTGGGATTTTAATGTTCAAATTAACTTTAATTTGTTGTTATTCTCAATCACAACAAGAGTAAACATGGTAAAATATCAAATTTGTCATAATTTACAATTCCTAATCCTTATGCGTGCTGTCTTGACGAAGAAAAACCCCAGGAAATTAGATTCTGATGTTTGTCTATGATCCAAACACTCCGTCCCCCCCGTTCGCATGCATATGAACATGATGCATGTTTGCATTTCTTGTAGCTAATATACAAACGATATATCCCACCTCTAGTGGAATCTGGTAGGGATATATTCACGAATCAGGAGGGGGAAGCTGTAAAACTCTTCAGTTCTATTGTCACCGTGCTTATACTGGAATCGTTCCCACCATGGAAGCCCTCTGTCCTCACTTGTGCGCCTTGCGTCAAGTGTGTTATCGAGCAACGTCCCGACAATCATTGCCACGGTTGGAGCTGACGAGAAGATTGTGTTGAATATGTCATTAAACTGCATGCATAATCAGTGGATGATAATCAGGAAAGGATGAAAGCACTAGGCAGTTTGAAGGCAATGATGTTGTCTATCCTCACACAGATAATATTGAGAAAAAAAAAAAAAAATCAGAACGTAGATTACCCATCCAGCTCCTGTCCGAGTTGGTCCACCACCGGTAGGAGTGGATTTTGAAACAAAGTACTGAGATATTGATATACCCAGGAACAGAGAGACGCCCAAAACATATATGTTTCGCATGGAATTATTGTTAGCAAACTGTAAGAATGTGATCCCAACAGCAGCTGCAGGAAAGGAAATCAATTTGAGGAAGGAAATTATAAGATATGAATACAAAATCATATCATGAATTCATGACAATGGTGTCACTTACCAACAATGCCCAGTAGAATACAGTATATGGCAGCAAATATGGGCAGAGGTATAGATGCAAAGAATGCACCAAATTTTCCTAAAGCAAGCAGAAGGCAACACAATCAGATATCAAGAGATAAACTCGGGCAATTTTCGAATGTGCGTACAACAGTAGTGTGAAAACAGACCAAATATGGAGAAGAATATCATGAAAGCAGTTGAAATCTGCACCACCCTTCTGCTCCCTATGCGTGTAAGTCCAAGAAGACCAACATTTTCACTACAATATCATTAAAAAGAGTCAGTGAAACAAATTTCTCCATTCCTTTATGCTGGCGATTAATAGTGTGATTTTCAGTGTTAATAATTAGTCAACAAGACTTGTATTTCATTTAGAAAAGCAATGGCTCCTTACACAGATGCAGTAGTACCAACAAGTGAGCCAAAAAACCCTTCAAGCAGCATACCAATTCCCTGCATCAAAAGCAAACAGCTTTATACCTTAGGAGAGTGAAACAATGTAAAGAATTCATTTAACCTGACACTAATAATTGACAAATAAAATACACTGAGAACCATCAAATTACTTGTAGGCCAATACTTCTGGTCAGCACATTAGCTGGAGGAGGCGTAGCACCAGCAAGTCGAGCTGCTGCAAAAAATGTTCCAGTTGACTGCATGCAAGAAAGAAATTATTTTAACAGCTTATATATATCCTCTATTGAGAGACAAGGAATAGATTAGAATTATATACTCTTTAAATAACAGTAAATTCAGTGTGCTGCAATATGTTTGAAGTCTAGCTGAGAACAGAAAATCTTTAAAAGGTTAATTTTAGGCCACATTTTAAAGCAGAGTGAACTCAGTATAATTTCTTTTATTTAATTTAGAATTATTAAATTGGTATCCTCTCTAAAATAGTGAAATGGATACTGAAGAGTGCCCATCATACCTCTGCAGATGTAACAAGTGCTGCTCCCATCATCCCAAACACATGGCTTGCTTCAAATACTGGAGTACCCCACTGAAATGGATATGGAATTTTAATCCTACACCAGAAACAACACCAAATAAATATTTATCAGTAAATGGGGTAATAATATTAATCTGGAACAGGATTCAGTCAACCCAGCATTAATACCATACCAAGGAGCATCTGATATAAGGGAAGCACGATCTATGCGACAACTGTCTTTAGTCTGACTCTTAACATTATTATAAGCACCAGCAGCAGTAAGGATAGCAGCAAAAGCCCATACAATTCCAATGCAAAAAAGCAAAGCAAACCTCTCAAATATAAATTTGGTCCTTAAATGGACATGCTTCAAGTACTGCAACAAAAACATTCAACAGTTATTACATCACTAAAGAAGGATATCAGTATGACATTATCAGACAACAATTTGATGGGCTTACGTTACCTGTTGGGAAACAACCAACAGAATCAGCATTGGCAGTCCAATTTCTACACAGTTACCTAGCTGTATTAAAAAATTTAACACATCTAAACATGGTGCACACCATTTAATTTTAAGATCCAATCAAGCAATGGATCATTCAAAGAGAATTACCAGCACGAAGCCCCTTGCGTAGAGACCAAGACCCACCAAACTGACCACTGGAACAATAACAATTGGACTAAATAATCTGGGCCAAAGAATGTGAAGAGAGAACAATTAGAGAACTCTTGACCGACCAATGAGAACTTGAGAATTGACTCTTACAAAGAATGTCACAAGTGCTGACACTTACAAAGGAGAAGTAAAGTAATTAAAAACATAATAGAGGTAGAATGAACTAATACTCAAAAGCTCTCACCTTGTCAGTCCCCCCCAAACCCTACTAAATCCAAGAATGATGTTTATAAAGGAGCAAACAATTAGTGATCCTTGGATAGTTCTCATTGTCTTGGTAAACCGCTGCAAGTACCCACACCACAACCATTAAGTGATCTAGTTAGTAGAATATGAAAGAAACAGCAAAGGGAGCACAACTAGACAAGGTACTCAATAGTGAATCCACTGAGCATATGGGGATCAACTATAGTTGGTAAACAACACAAAGCATGGTTTACAAGTAGGACTAAAACACCATATTTTAGGGGATAAATGACAGATAATTAGTATGAAAGAGTAGACATCTTTCTGAAATTATGAAGATCACTTCGGCATCCAGAATTACCATAGTCTTCATGTTACACTACAAATCAAGATAACTTTACAATAATATGATATTGTAAATAGGCAGTTACAAAATCTGAGTCCTTGCTTACTGATGTTTTCATACCTTTCATTGTATAATATAATATATAATATCCAATTAGAACTTTACATACCTGATGCTCAGATGCATTATTCTCATCATTAATACCATTGATGATTGAAAAAACAGGCAACATATAAGCAAATGAGGCACCCATCACTGTGGGCAGCCTCGATCCAAAAAGTGTTTGAAGCAGCGTATTCACTCCTGACATAAGTAGCAAAGTCTGAATGACCCGGGCTTTATCACCCTGTTTATAGTAACACCAGATAGAGAAAATAAAAAATCAACAGCGTATCTATCATATCCATGCATCAAGAAGTTTGGAAAAGTTGATAAAGCGTACATGAGTGCCACCCATTCGAGGCACAAGAAGATTGGCAATTAATACCGTTGTTCCAAGCATCACAATATAGTGTTGAAAAGCCAATAAAAATGCTTGAGCTGTGGAATCAAATTGATATCTGGTTATTATATGCAGAACATTAAAGAGTATATAACCAGTAGTTTAACTCCAGGGTGTTAACAGTCCTAGAAAACTTCTTGGGATGAATCCTAAATTCCTAAGCTAACATTCAACCTAGAAAAATAAACAATTAAGTAGCCATGGGATATAAACATAGCAGGATAAGAAATTAAGAAATAAAAAATGAGATTAACACCAAGAAGTAACTAGACTTAGTTAGTTAATGGAATCTGAACAAACGGTTGATATCTAATCAGCAGAATTTGTTGAAAAGAACGCATACAAAAATAATTGAAGATAAATAACTTTTTTTTTAATTGAAAAAAAAAAGGGACAAATAATAAGATTCCTTGATCCCCCAGCACAACCAACAAAACATGCAAGAAAACCAGCAACAAAGCAAAATAATCATACTAACTGAAAGCATGCAGCTTAAATTTAGTCAGGTTTCCCACCAAACTAAATAAAAATTAGGCCTCAAAACAAAATGGGGAAGAGAGGGACTAACGCAAAGAAGGATTGGAGTGGATGCAGAATTCAAGCTGCGGTAGTTGCTCGGCAGGAACCCAAGTCGGTCCTCTAGAAAGCGCAAGCGGCGATGGTGGTACCTGGGGTTGCGGTGGTGGCCCATGGTTTGCTGTCTCCCCCATCTTTTCTAATCCTTTCACCTAACAGTATATCCCTTTGCTCTTCTTTCTTTCTTGTTGTAACTCTTCTTCAACAAGATTTAGATTCTTGCAAAATCAAAAGCCACTCTTTATCCCTCTGCTTACTATGTGCTGAGAGTCAGTGAATCAAAAGAAGATCGATAGAAAGAAAAAAGAAAAGAGAAAACAGAAATCTTAAAGAAAGCACCTTTCTTATTCTTCCAATAATAGGAAATAATAAAGTAAGCAGCTCAGCTCATTTATTAACATTTAATCTCTGCCCTGAGCTTACCTTTGTTTGTATCAACAAGCGTAAACAAAGAAAGAGTAAGTTGAGAGAGAAACGTCGGAGCATAAAAGGCAAGCAAAGCAGATTAGCAGAGTGAGTTGGGATTACGTTAAAGTTGTCGCGTACCGAGGTGATTATAACACGCTTCTTCAAATATGATACTGAATGAGCAAAGCGCGTGACTTTAGAGACTATTTGGTTTAATACTATTTTTATTAAATAATATTAAAGATTTGTGGATTTTGTATACTTAAGGTACGCGTTAAACTTTTAATTTGGTTCTTAAATTATCGTATGAATATTTGATTTGGTTTTTATTGTATATTAATTTAGCTTTAAATTGGTTTTTTTTTTACAAAAAAAAGTTAATGTATCCATTACTTAATAGTAAAAAATAATTATTTAATGATCATATGTCACGTTAATAACAAAATATGCCAGTTGTTTTTGGTATGAAATGATCAATTTGGAGTAAATTAATAATTAATAAAGGTCAAATCGAAGGTTCGTACAATAATTTAGTAGTCAGATCAGGATTTTTTTAATTTAGATTAAATTAGGGGTCCGTATAATAAGTCATGAACAAATTGAATATTTAACTTTTAAAGTATATATTAAGGTTATAATAAATATTTTTTTAATAATTAATTCATATTAAAAATTTATAAAAGTTAACATATATTTTAATATTACTTACACATAAATAATTTTAATTGGTTAATTGATTAAATCAAAATTAATATTTATACTTATAATAAAAATTAATTATAAAAATGTACATTTATTATATCTTTATCTTATACGTTAATCTTGTACCCTTATCGTATACTCTTAAGGTATAAAATAAAAAAATCTTAATAATAAATGGGATAAAAATTTAGAATGAAAATTTAGAATTAATAATGTAATTTAGGTTACATTATTTAAATATTAAAAATTATACTTATAATAAAAATTAATTATAAAAATGTACATTTATTATATCTTTATCTTATACATTAATCTTGTACCCTTATCGTATACTCTTAAGGTATAAAATAGAAAAATCTTAATAATAAATGGGATAAAAATTTAGAATGAAAATTTAGAATTAATAATGTAATTTAGGTTACATTATTTAAATATTAAAAAATAGATTTTATATTATTTAATAATTAATTAATTAATTTTTTTAAAACCTATAATATTATATACATTAATTAATTTAATAATATAACATATAATATACATTATATCATTAGT